AGACTTGGTCACTTGGAAAATATAACGCATTACGCATGAGCCTTGATCAATTTCCTTAATTTAAAATCAATCGCCCAATTTATTACAATATTCAGATACGGAAAGGAATTAGGCATTATCAGATGTTCGAGTTGAAACTTGAAATTTTACTGTCAGTTTACGGGGAGTATGTACCAAATGGTAAATACAATTTAACAATATATATTGAAATTTCTTTGTTTGTTTCACAAACAAGTATATATCAAATATGTTGCTATTAAAAATCACAATCGCTAAAATATTTGTGTTGCGTATTGAAATGTATAAGCCTTGCAGCGCTATTTATAGAACTACATTGTTTACTACATTGACCTCGACATTGACATTGTATTTCATATTATACTAGCGCCTCGATGCTTTATACGCCTATGCTCGGGTTGAAAGCTTAAATATTCAAGACAAAATAACAATAACTAAATAATACTAATAGCATATTTAGCCTAAACCATTCTTTCTTTGAATACCACGACATTTGAAAAGCTTTCCCGATCGGGCATGTCGAAAGATCTGGCGTTGGTCTCTGCTTGATAAACAATAATATTCTGCTGAGCAGAAAATGGTTTTTTCACTAATTCCCAAACAATATCGTTAGCTTCGAGTGAAGAAGAAGTCGACATGCTTGAATGACCTGAAGACGTGTTCATTCAGGCTGAAAGCTTCGAGCTAAGAGGCTGTGATCAGGTTGTGTTGCCCGTTTAGTTATGCAAATCGAAAATTGCATGACCAAGGCGTCAAAAACAGCCGCATTGCGCGTGCGCGAACGTCGTAAGCCAATCAGAAACCAACAAACCTAATATAAAATAATATAGCTAGTCATGAAATTCTGAAAATGCATGACCAAAACACACAGCGAGCAAACCACGCAGCAATCACACGCAATTGTTTTCCACGCGCTTACGCAACCGGTCATGCATGTGAAAATATGCAGGACCGCTCAGTTGCCAAGGTAACAAAGCCAAAATCAATAACATACGAGAATATTTAGCGAAAATATCGACCTAAAGACCACTGATTCGGGTAAACAAAATAATAAATAAAATACTTAAGCGTAGAAGTGCAAAGATAAAGTATAATTCTATTGTAAACAATTATACTGAACTGATTTTTAAACATTTTGGGAAAAAATTTTAGTCATGCACTGCATGACCTGCATGACCGCTGGCTTCGCCACTGCTCTCCAGCAAGTGGCCATAATTTATGGTTTTTATGGGCCATAAAAATCATAAATGGCTTGTATATACCGTTGATATTATGGCTAATACTATTAACAACATTTGTGAACATGGCAATGGTGCACTCTCACTGTGGCACTGTACTGCTGTAGGTCGAGTCAAGGCAGCACTTGAACTTCCCTTGCGAACGTAACTTCCAGTATTTATTTTTATAATTGTATGAAGAATTGATTTATATTCACGCTAATAAATTATTACTGCTTATACAAGAAAGGTCTATATGCTAATTTTGGCCTAAGCAAAAACGATATGATTACAAAGGATTGCATCTCAATATCATAAATCATTTTTGATGATTACCTTTTTTGATGTTTTGTCGACGGCGCCATCGCTTGCAAGAAAAGACTACAAACATTAATTCAGCGGTACTAGTACGAAATGCGAAATACTTTATTTTATCGGCGTCGGAAGGCGTTTTTGTTTGACTTGCAGGCTACGCAGCATTTTTTATTTGTTTTTTGCGCAAAATTATAACATAATCACATTAATAAGCAACTCCACAACAGGCAGCTGCCTATCTGTCTGTTTTTCGTAATTCAATTCCCCAGAAATGTGCTATCAAATTTTTTATGGTCATTTTTGTCGGGGGGCCCTAAAGTTCGGGAGCCTCCCGTCACTGGACACCCTGACACCCTCCCGTTACGCCACTGTCTGTACAAACTGCATAGACCACAGTTTAGTATGGTGTTATTTTGAAAAATTTCATTTAAACTTGGTTTTGTTTATGCTTTGTCAGGCAGTTTCCATAGAGCACTTTGTGAATGATTTTTGCAACCAACCATATAGGTGAATTGTTTGTTGATGCAGCAGAGCAAGAGCAAATAAGAATAAATACCCCTCAAACCACATGTAGAAGTTTGTTCAATCAATTCAAAGCGACAGAGAGACAAGAGGATTTTTCAGAATCTGCTGAAGCTGAAATTAGCAAAATTGATGATGTAACTATGGGAAGTAGCAGAGGAATAAAGCATGACTTGACGCCGAATTCCAAAAAGTCTAACCAACCCAGGGCTAAAAAGTCTCTTGTTGGTAAGTATCTTATGTTTACCAGCTAAGTTTAATAGAAGCTGGCATCTAACTAAATGAGTCAGTTCATAATAGATATACACTGTAGAATAATTTTAATATTTAACACTTTATTCAGAATACCCCCATTCATATTATGCCTATCCCAGTACTATTTATTTCAATGTATAGAAATAAATTTTACAATCATCTTCACTGACAGCTGTAATAACCTCTGTAATAAACTCTGTATGGTATGCACATGTACTCTATAACTTGCAATTTTCTATTTGCTTTGTTTTCTAGGAGGAAAACCTTCAGGTCAAGAAATTACAGACAGAAAGTCTAAAATAATAAATATACTTCAAGCTTCCTTTATTCAACAGCGTAGCAGTCAGGCAGTGAGGTAAACAGAGATATCCTACTGTCATCTATTGGCTTGGATAATGGTAGCACTTCAAATTCACTGGTTACTCGTACAATAAAACAAGTTTTCCCAGACGTTACACTCAGAAAAATGATTTGTATCCTTTTTGAATTATATGGGATTAGCAATTTACATTACAAATCTGTGTGAATTCAGGGTATATTTTAACGTGCAGTTCTACACAAAATTTGCAGTTCTAAACCCATTTGTGTAGTTCTTAAAACACAGATGTGCAGTCAGCAAACTAACAAAAATAGCTTTAAAACAGTCTTCTCATTTACTCATTACCCTTGTGATGCTCCAGAAAATGCCAGAAATGCTGTAATTGAGCATCAAAAATATAAACGTTTTCTGGAAGAGGATCCCAGACCTTCCTATTTTCCTCACAAATCACTTACGTGCTGGGGTAACGGAAAAAAGGTAAAATTGGGGAGAGAGAAGCTCCACAAATGAGATTAGAGTGGGGGAACCTAATATTCTTTGCCACCTGAAATGCAAATTTAAGCTTGTTATATAATGAATAGCCATGATTCCCAGTTACATGTTTTGAAAATGATTTGAGAGTGGTTGGGTAAAACAAATCTTTGCCAGAACTTAAGAGCCTCTAGATTCAAATTGTTTTGGGGAACACGTCTCCCCTCTCCCCGTCTAGCTCTTGCACCCAAATTTCCCACCAAACCACACCATTATTCTGTCACTTATATGCAGGTAAAAAATCCTTTCACCCCCCCCAGTCAAACACCCGCTGCTTTCGTAACATCTCTATATGTGCAATTCTAAATTTTTCTTAAAATAAACCCTGTGTCAATTGTATTCTGTTGAAAACTGATAGAATTAATGTCTATTTTGAAACACAATAGTATTTATCTGTCAACCAAGATGTTTCTTTAACTGACTATAGAACATTTTATGTGAATCTCAAACATAAAAATTTATTCTCTTGCGAAGATTCTAAGTGTTTACTACCAATTTCAGGTAGGTAATGTATGCATATGAATTCTATAAATCGGAGGATATGCAAGTTATAAAATGAAAAAATACAATACATACATACAGTATCTGTCAAGGTACCATCAAGGCCCTTGCAGGAGAACCCAGATTTACCCTATATTAAGGACCCCCTTATTTATTAGTACAGTTAGTGCTTGGTTAGTACATAAGAGTTAGTGCCTAATGGTTAGTTTTAGCAAGGGAGGAAACTGGAGTATCCACTTTCGAAGCACAGGAGATAACCAACCAATCTCAACTTATGTGAGTTAAAATTAGTTAAGAACACTGAGATATTCATCTGAGGATCACCGTATCCTCAACCTGCTGTATAGGAGGCTTAACTCAGATGTAATAGGCAGCACGCTTACTGCTTTCACCACTCTTGCTCCCCAATAGTTCTACACAAAATATACAACAACAATATTTATTAAAAATTATAATTTATTGTTGTTTTTCATATGGACTTGAACATTTTTATGTTCTCATAGATAGGATGATCAATGTCCATCATCAACTTGGAGCTGTAGAAGTAATGTTAAGACAAATTTTACAGCAACTGGAAATAGCAGGTGAAGGAAATGTGCACTTTGAGGAACTTTTGAAAAATTTTGTTAGAGAGTCAAATGAAAGAGATGAACTTATGAAGACGCTTCTTAAATTCTACCAAACACAAGCTGAAAACAGTGCTGTGCCATCACTATCAAGATTATCACCTGAACAAAATGCGACCATCGCCAAAGAACTTAAAGTGTTTCAAAACATCTGTAATCTTGGGATTCGTAGTGGGAATGTCAAAGATACTACAGAGTTGTTACATCCGTCCATTTTTAAAGATTTTGGAGATGAAGAAAGAGAGAAATGTCCACTGTTGCACAGTATTGTGGAAGCATTGGTCATAACCAGTCAGCACGAAAGAAATGTTCATAAAACCAATGAAAAGAAAGTGCTTTGTGGACATCATGCTTTGGCCCTTTTATATAACATCAGAAACTCAAACTGCTGTAATAATTTTCCATTGTTGTTTGGACTGTTGTGTGTATCATATGGAGCGGGAAAACAGTTTATCAATACGTAGCAGTCCATTGGAATGTCAATTCATTTTGACACAATGTGAGTGTGCAAATTATATGGTGTGTTTAGCAGTGTATCTAACTAGTAACGATCTGAAAGTCATTCACCATACAGTATTTAGGAATTCATTGCATGTCAATTACATACATGCATAAATATTGGAACTCGTCTCCAGTCTCGTACTCCTTTGAATAGGCCTAAATTATTGCTATAAAATTGAAATTGAAAATGGATAACCAAAGCCTCACTTTTGGCTCTCTATTTCGTTTGTCAAGCACTATTTTAGGCACTCAGAAATAAAGATGACTATGGCATAGTCAGTAAAAACAACTGAATATAGAAAGACAACTTAACTAACAAAGATATGTTACATTTTTGAATCAGGAAAGGTTTTAATTCTTTTCCAAGGTTAAGCCAATTCTCGTACCCAGAGCCCTTCTTACGCGTGGTGCGACGAGGGGCTCTGGCCAAATCCATATTCCAACTGGCATCTGATTGGATAGTTCTAACACCGGATATTGTTTTCTTACCATGTTTTTATGGTATCCAGTTATGGATTTGACCAGAGCCTCCCGTCGCACCGCGCGTAAGAAGGGCTCTGGGTACGAGAATGGGTTAAGCCAAGAATTGGAGGTAACTGTAATGTGAAAGGTGTAGTGTTGATGCACTGATTGTTTTTTTGAACAAATTTCTTGAAACAGAGGCTGGATAATTATGATAAAATTATCTCTGAACATGCACCTGTTGATATCCCTGTTATATTGTTACTGGACAACATAAACATGTACAGTGGAAATAAACGTCATCACCGAATTTTTAAAGTTCTTGGACCCACAATGTGGAATTTCACAGTTCGGGTTGCAATTATACCCAACTGCGATGGTGTACGTGATCTGCTTGACAACCCTGAAATGACACAAGGACCACAGAAACAGCTAACAACCCTGAAGCCAGAAGATCTTTTCATTCGTATGTCTATTTAGCACACGGGCTTTAGGACAAATTCAATTCGACAACAATAGTATTCTATCTAAATAGCAGTTAAAATAAAGTGTACGGTACCTGAACTGTTCAATATCTTGCTTCTGTATCCATAAAACATTTACATATATGCAAATACTGTATATTTTCAAAATTCGTTAATCATTTATTTACATTAGAACCCAAGCTTTCGCGGTTCACACGAAATATTAACGTCGGTGATTTTCACTAATAATAAGAGGGTAGGATTAAAGTGGGCGTTGTCACTCGCTAAACCAATCAGCTGTCTGGGTTCTGTACCGCGTAACCTTTACAAATCGTTCCGAGCGGGAGGAATCTTATGGCGTCATAACGGCTTTGATAAAATATTTTGGGGACACGTTTGTGCCATATAAGGAAGTTGGTGTTATATGTTGTGTTATACATCTGTTTATATTACGATCGGACTGTTATCGGGACAAATCACCTTTTGGAGTATGGGATTTAAGGAAACAAAAACAACATTGGTTTTGGATACGGACTCGATATAGAGTAAAAGATAGCTCTGTAAACGGGTTGTTTCAAGTAAATAAAGTATTCAAGAGTTTAGTACAACAATGGCGACGAGTTCTGCAGCCGTTACGGCTACAAATGGACCCAAGTTAAAAGTTTTACCCTTCGATCCTCACGGAGATCGGTTAGACCTGGGGAAACGATGGGAAAAGTGGTTCGAACGGTTTGAGAGAGACCTCAAGTATAACGGATGTGATCCTAGTAAAACACCAGGAATAGCCAAAATGGCGCTGTTAATATACGCAGGCACCGAGGTGGAAGACCTGCACGACACTCTGCCAGAACCAGGCAGACCAGAAGGCACAGAGGAGGAAAATTGGACCGCGTATGAGCAATCTAAAACCAAATTGAAAATACATTTTTTACCAAAACAGTGAAACGACTTTGCTATCTTTGAATTACTCCGAATGAAAACAGGCCTTAAAATATCTTTTACAGGGCCGTCTGACAAAATGTCCGATGACGATGAGTTTGGGTCGGACATATGTCCGATGGCCTTCAGTTCAGTTTTGACTCGGAAATAAGTCTGAATGACACAAATGAATATCAGCATGCACAATGTATTAATTCTGAACGGTAAATGTTGTGAAGATATTAAATAATTTGTGTCATTCATGTTTATTTCCAAGCCAAAATTAACTTTTTCGCCAGAACAGCAGTAAGAATTCGACAACTTAAGCCCGTTTTCCACTTCAACATTTCGCTCGCCGCCCCGCGCTTGATTAGCAACGTTAAACAACATTTCCAGTTCACTTTTTATACAATACTCAATAGTCCTCTGATTTTCCATTTAACTACGAGCCTCTATATAGTCCTGGACTATAGGTTACATTTTGATTTACGTTGGACAAAGCTACAGTTCGGTCAGACACCAATACACTGAGGTCGGACAAACAATAAACCTCAATTTCACTTAGGTCGGACAGAATGTCCGGTGGCTTCCTCTCTACGTCGGACAATTTCACTAATGGGTCGGACAATGTCCGTGACCGACCGATATTTTAAGGCCTGTAATGAAAATCGAATCGTCAGAAAGTATTACAAGTTATGCGATGAGGCTACGTAAAGCAGCGAGCAAGTGCGATTTTACAAATTGGTCGGCAGAGAAAATGATCAAAAGCCTGATCATCAGCAATATGCAAGATGACACCCTTCATCTAAAATTTTTACAGAAGGACCGAACACTGGACCAAATCTTAGATATCGCTAGAAAGAAGGAAGATGCTGTGGCCCGAAGTAAAGTAATAGACAGAGACTCCCGACAGGTAGTCAACAATGTGGGTGCCAAACGAAATCAACCGTTACAACAGAAGGAGCCTACAGACCAGTGCAATCGGTGTGGACACGAAAACCATTTCCCTGCTTCGGAGTGCCCAGCCATATCCAGAATCTGCAACTACTGTAAAAAGAAAGGACACTGTGCCAGCAAGTGCTTCAAGAAACAGAAGGAAGCAGGAATCAAGCGCATCGAAGCAGAACCCCAAACTGACACCGGAAACGACACCAACTCCGACACTGATGAGTATGACACAGCCAAGATCGAATTAGTTAACAACCTTGCGATGAGGGAAAAGCCATCGCTGATGAGAGTCCGCACTAACGACCAAGAAGTTCTGTGGCAACCGGATACCGGGATCCAAAAGGACGTCTGGGATGAGGCACACTTCCGCAGCTTTAAAGAAAAGACTCGGGGGGAAGTTAAGTTGACACCGACAAACATCAAGCTATTTGCATATGGGGGCAAGACACCACTGGTGGTCATTGGTTCATTCAAGGCAGTGCTAACAGCTGGTGATCGGACAGTCGACACTGAGATATATGTGACATCTGAACCATCCGCCTATCCACTACTTTCCGAACAGTCAGCCAAACAGCTCCAATTGATCCGGTATAATGAGAAGTTCCTAGTAAAGCGAGTGTCAGAGCCCTGCAAGAAAGTTTTGACAATGACGCCAAAAGATAGCTGACATGATTATGGATAACCCCGAGGTGTTCACGGGTAAGATCGGCAAAGCCAAAACGAATGAGGTGTCCCTGATGATTGATGACAGTGTCACACCAGTGGTCCAGAAACAGAGACGGATACCAGTCAATCTCTCAGATCAGGCAGAAAGCAAAATCCAAGACCTCCTGGACCAAGACATCATAGAACGAGTTCCAGATAACCAGCCACGCAGTTGGGTCAGCCCTCCCGTGATTGCTCCCAAACCAGATTCCAACGACATTCGTTTCTGCATCGAGATGCGCATGGCCAACAAAGCCATACAACGCCCGTATACGCAGATACCAACAATGGCTGATATTGTAAACAAATTTCAAGGAGCAGAACGCTTCACTAAACTGTACCTCAAAGAAGCATACCACCAGTTTGTCCTCGACGAACAGTCGCGTAACATCACCACTTTCTATGGCCCTGATGGCCTCTACCGCTACAAAAGGCTCAATTATGGAACCAAATCTGCCCAGGATATCCTCCAGTTGGAGATGCACAAGATGCTGTCCGGTATCCCAAGCCAGGTGAACATAGCGGATGATATCTTGATTGGCAGGTCAGTCGAAGAGCATGATGCAGCCCTGCAGAAAGTCCTGTCAGCCTTAACGAGTAATGGTATCACCGTGAATCCTGATAAGTGTGTCTTTGATGTAGAGGAGGTGCGATTCGTCGGGCTGGTTTTCAACAAGCAGGGCATAAAACCCGACCCAAAGAATGTAAAGAATCTACAAGATGCAAGTCAATCCACAAGTAAAGTGGAGCTGCGCTCCTTCCTCGGGATGGCAGGGTTTAGTGAACGTTTCATTCCGAACTTCGCGAGTATTGTCCACCCTCTGCGGCAACAGCTCAAGGAGAACATTTGGGCGTGGGACGAAAAGTGCCAAGAAGCATTCACCAAGTTGCAGCGAATTTTCACTACTACACCATTATGTAATCGGACATGACACCGAACTAGTTGTAGACGCCAGTATCACGGGTCTGGGGGCAGTTCTTGTCCAGCGAGCATCGAAGACTGAGGCCTTCCACCCGGTTATGTACAAGTCGCGCTCACTGAAAGAGGTTGAAACCAGATACTCCGCGACTGATCGAGAGGCACTAGCCGTACGCTGGGCATGCAGGAGGCTACGAAGGTATTTTCTCGGTGCACCAAAATTCCGCATCGTTACCGACCACCGTCCACTAACGTATATGTTCCGCAAGTTATGCGGGGAGCTACCTCCAAGAGTCGAGAACTTTGTTATGGACGTGCAAGAGTTTGAGTACGAGATCGTCTACCGTCCGGGAAAGACATGCATCGCTGATTACATGTCACGACATCATGTTGATCGAGCAGGATCAAGTCGAGTGTTTAAGATCGAGGCAGCAGCGGAGAGCGTTGTTGAGAGCGGGTGCTGCCACGCCCTTAATGAACAAGGAACAGTGACGGTGGAGGATATTAGGGCTGAATGAGAAAGATGCGAAGTCTACCAGAGACTTGTTAAAGCAGTCAAGTCGGGAATAAGCAACAATGACGAGGACTTAAAACCTTACATGGTCCCGGAAATCAAACACGACTTGAGTGTGGTCAACGGTGTGGTTTGTCGGGGATCACGTGTTGTCGTCCCTATCGCTCTACAAAAACGGGTTGTCGAATTGAGTCACCGCGCACATCAAGGAATTAGCAAGGCAAAGCATTTTCTACGGACATTCTGCTGGTTCCCTGGGATGGACAAGGCCGTCGAAAACCATGTACGAGGATGCTTACCGTGCCAAGCTGTCCAACCACCAAATAACGACCATCCAGTCAAACCGTCGGAGCTACCAATTGGCCCATGACAGTATGTGCAAATGGACTTCCAAGGCCCTTACCCCAACGGCGAATATATATTCATCATGATTGACCGCTACAGTCGATGGCCTGAGACTGGCATGGTTCCGAAATGCACCTAATGCGAACACCACAATCGCAGCCATGGAGAAGATATTCACCAACAAAGGTGTTCCAGCGGTATGCCAATCGGACAATGGCTCGCCTTTCCAATCAAAAGAGATGGAACAGTTTGCCCAAAGCAGTGGATACCGCCATCACCACATTACTCCGGAATGGCCCAGAGCAAACGGAACAGTTGAGCGATTTAATCGGAATATGAAAGAAGCTCTGCGGGCAGCAACTCTGGAAGGGAAATCCCTGAGAGGCGCATCACAAGGATTTCTGCAGATGTACCGATCTACCCCACACAGCGCGACTGGTGCCAGCCCGCATGCTGCATTGCATGGCGGAAGAGAAATGAGAACAGTACTTCCACTTATGACACCAACCGACCATGTTATAGACCGTATACGAGACCAACGATTCAAAGTCAAGATGAGAAACGGACTGCAGCCACATAAACTTCGGGTAGGTGACAGTGTTATTGTGAAGCAGACGAAAGCCAACAAGCTGACGCCGACATTCAACCCTACACCTCTGAGAATCACCGAGGTCCAAGGCTCGACAATAACTGCACGGGAGATAAACGGCACGTGGACCATCACGAGGGACGCGTCGTACTTTCGAAAGATTGCATCCGACACGCGTGCGGATAACGAAGATGACCAGGACGCATCAGACGAGAGTAACGAAGAGACGGAGAACGAAAACAGGGGGAACCAACAGGAGACGTTGGATGAAAGCACTGAGAAAAGGCAAAGACCACGACGGACAACACGGAGGCCGAGTTATTTAGAAGACTACGACACTTAAGGGGGGTTGGACTATTATTGTAGTTGGGGAGAGATGTTATATGTTGTGTTATACATTTGTTTATATTACGATCGGACTGTTATCGGGACAAATCACCTTTTGGAGTATGGGATTCAAGGAAACAAAAACAACATTGGTTTTGGATACGGACTCGATATAGAGTAAAAGATAGCTCTGTAAACGGGTTGTTTCAAGCAAATAAAGTATTCAAGAGTTTAGTACAACAGTTGGGGACACGTTTGTGCCATATATGGAAGCATGGTTTCCTCGCGCTTCGAACGATTAAATATTTGGATTATCCTGCCCTCTTATTATTAGTAAAAATCACCGACGTTAATATTTCGTGTGAGCCGCGAAAGCTTGGGTTCTAATGTAAATAAATATGGCGGATTTTGAAAATATACAGTATTTGCATATATGTCAATCTCGTTCCCCGAACCTGCGATCCTTGGGAAGGAAACGAAGGCTCTGGGATAATCCGAATCAGACATGCAGAAAACTGTATGTCGACCGAACTGCGCATGTGTTGCCAAAAGCAAAACAAATTGTTTGAAATATTTTATTGTTTCGTCTATAAAATGATTTTTTCGGGGTTTTGGTGGAAATGTTGATGTTCTTCATAGTGGGATAAAAAAGGTGTGTTAGCGACTGAATAAAGAAAATATTGCGTGTGAAACAGGGTCAGTATAGAGCCGGCAGGAGCCGCGAAGAGTGCTGTTGTCGAAGAAAAATGTCACAATTAATTGTAATCTTGTCCATTCACCTCTGTGTCAGTTTGAAAAAGCTTTAAATGTAGAGACATTTGTGGTTCCTCCAGCATAATTTAGCCGTTTAACGCTATTATGTTTCTAATGGTTGAAAGAGCGCGTGGAAGGGGCAATTTAAGAACAAAAACAATTACAATGTACTGTGTGGTTTAGTGTTTATTTAATATTAATGCTACTGTAGTATTAAAATACCTGAAAAGAGTCTCAATTCTAATATTATTAAAGTCGGTTATAAACCTTGATAATATTAAAGTTTTCAGAAGGTATCAGAGGAATATTAAAAGAATTTAGACTTATAAAACATATCATTAAAAAAATGAATATAGTGAATTCCATGTTTATATTGTGTTATCATCTCTAGAAATTAACAGTTTATAAACCAAATCCTTGTTATATTTTTTAACTGCCCTTATAGCTTTCCTTATATGTTTTAATATTTGCCAGCAGTTTAGTAGGTTAGGGATGCAACAGCACTTTTCAAATTACTGAATTATAATCAAATTTTGTATCTGGATAGGAATTATACTATTAAAGATTTACAGTTTGTAATGATAGAGTTGGAGCAAGTTAAGCTGAAATGTGCCTCAATGTTTGCCCTACTTTGTTATTTTAAGCTGTTTAACGCCAGAATTTTTTCTCGTCAAGGGGAAAGTATTGGACTTGGTATTTGAATGGTTTAACCAGTCCCATCTGCATGTCTACCTATTTTTGGTTAATTATCTCATTAGATCATTAAGCCACAATGCTCTTTAGTGCACCCCATTTTGTTATTTCACTGTACTTCTGGACAATATTTCTCATCAATGGCCGGAAATGTACTTGACTTCATGTTGATTACTGCCATTAATTAACTGCTGTACTAAATGGCAGGGTCCGTACACCTTCTCCTATTTAAAATTCCATGACTTTTCCATGTCTTCCCATGACCATTTTTTTTAAAATCCATGACCTGGAAGTCTGGAATTTCTGAAATTCGTTAATATTTTAACAATAACAGATATAATAAATGAACAAAATTCACTTTGCTCTTGTAAAAATCCGTTATATAACAACAATTCATATTATTGTTATGACTAGTAAATTGAAATAAGTAAAATACTTTAATGTTATGTAAAATTTCAATTTCCATGACTAAAATTAATTTTCCAGGATTTCCAGGTCTGGATTTTGGAATATTGAAATTCCATGACTTTCCAGGTTTTCCAGGACCCGTACGAACCCTGAAATAGGACATTCAAGGTTGGAGATATAATAGCAATAGGTTGCTATCATTGTAGCATTCAGGGGCGTTGCTAGCCCAAATTGTCAGGCATTTGGCAATTTATTGTATCGCAATCAGAAATTGTTTTCGTGGCCAGCATGATTTGAATTGGATAGGAACTGAAATATATGTGTTTTTGTTGCCCCTCCCCTTCTCAGAGTAGGTATGTGTTGTTTTATAGTGTAAATAACAAGTTTTTATATTGCAATGAAACTGACAGGGTAGTTGTCATGATCATGGTAATAAAAATATTCCTATGGCTCGGCATTTATATTGGGCAATTTTTTATCATTCATCACAAAATTATACCTGCACCCTAGGTGGTTCCCTGCAGGGGGTCATAACCAGGGGGAAGCTGATGAAAATGAATTCTGGTATTGGTGGCTGATCACTATCATTTAATATTTTTGTGAATAGTACATTTCTTAAAAAAAAGTATATGAATTTATTAAAAATATTTATATGGTTTCCCAATCTGGAATTCATACTTTGTAACATTTGGATCAAAAGGTTTATGAAGTTTTCTTGGACAGAATCCAATTAATACAACCTCGTACATAGCTTCTTTGAATTACTGTGTGGACAAGATTAACAAAGGGATTGCCAATTTGGCATATTGTACTACTCAATAAATTAAAATCATTAAATACTTTATGCTACAATTAGCTGTAATATTATACTGTATATTATTGGGAATGTGTTTCATATGACGTCATAAATTTGACGGGGGGTCAACTCGAAATCGAAACACAGTCATCAGAGTGAATTAATTTTTCACTGTATGTGTTGGCCTTGTGTTTGGTGGTAAATACATGCAATTTCATATCATTTGCTCACTCCAGTACAGCATAAGCATCAATACATTTTAGGTTGACCCCCGTCAGAACGTGCAAAATGCCATAGTGAAACCCAATAATTCATTATATGTATTAGGTGTATGCAGACTGGAATACAAGTTAATATCACTGCCTGTGAAATTGTGGTTTATTTAAAGAATAAAGGTTTTTTGAACTCAGTTCTATAAATAAATTATAACAGCAAAAGATTCATATGCACCCATATAGGGAAGGGTTACATGCTAAAAGTTAAAATGAGTATTGCATACTCCTGCACTTGAAAAGTTTACAGTACAGTATATACATTAAATAATAAAATATATAACAGTAAATCCCAAGATTGGATTTATTGAAACTAGTCATTAGCTAGTTCTTCGCCAAGTAGTCATTAGCTCGTTATTGGCAATTAAATAACACAAAGACAAATTAATAAAAGTTATTAACCATTTCTGACAGAAATAGTATTTGCAAAATATAGCACATATTTGATATATTTTATAGTCAAATAGTACAGTGTACTGACAGTACTGTATACTATCGGGCTATCCCGATACTATGTATAGGCAGTATAGATTAAAACTACAGAAAACCTGTACAAGTTACAACACAAATATGAGTAATATTTTCCCGCTCTATTTAACTGTTGTGATATTATATGCATTAAGTATACGTTTCTTTGCATTTCCTTTGTGGTATTAGTATATAGCACAGCTCTGAAAAACCAAAACAATATTCATACACTCCTAAACGGCCGCCATGTTGTATATAAAAATATACGGTTAAAAATTAATTTTTGCAAAATTGCAACATTCCATTGTTTTCCAGCAACCAATCATATTCATTTCTGACATGGAATATCCCAGAGCCTTCGTTTCCTTTCCAAGGATCGCAGGCTCGGGGAACGAGATTGCATATATGTAAATGTTTTATGGATACAGAAGCAAGTTCTTTTGAACAGTTCAGGTACCGTACATTTTATTTTAACCGCTATTTAGGTAGAATACTATTGTTGTCGAATTGAATTGGTCCTAAAGCCCGTGTTTAGCATACAGTATGTATATGATGATAGGAAGTCTATTATGGATCTTTAAAATACTAAAAATTGTGTTAAGTGTTTTAAACAATGTCGAATGCATGATTTAGACCGTAGTCAAATTCGTATAGTTCTACCTATTGTATTTACACAGGAACTTGTATGATTAGTAGTCTTGCTCGGTTTCCCATGTGAACAAATAGAACCTGACGAATTTGATTCTTTGACTGATAAGATAGTCTACATGAAAAATATAATGCGAACTCAATGTATCAAGCAAAGGCTTTTCGCCTGGAAGATCTTGTTATCTTGTTTTCATGTAGACTTTCTTAACCAAAGCATTTTTGAAAAGAATCTACCTGCAATAGCACCCCACCTTTGAGAATTTGAGTACGGTCGGGAAATTGTCCAGTCTTGTCACTCGTGCGAAGGTAGCCTTAAATTGAGGTACATGTAATTTATGAACGTGTATTAATGTGGTACCAATGCAACAAAATCATAATGATTTCCTTTGTGTTTTGCTCGTGAATTATTAATTTGGTTGAGGATTAATAATTGATATTGTAAAATCCAACAAAAAGTAGCAACACATCTGGAATAACTTCACCTATACTTACTTGTACAACCAACCCTTCATGTGCAATCTAAGCTTATTAAATCCAAATAATTTTCTTCTCTAACATTTTGTGGAGTCGAACCCAGACCATTTGAAAAAGTGGAGAGACTCAAAATATCTGTACTTGGAAAAGTTTTTGGAGACCGGTTTAAATGCAGTTCCTCCTTCCCGGCAGCAATTTAGCTTTATGACGGAATTGGAATTTACATCATGGTTAAAGAAACAAAATTTGAATCCAACTTCTGTGTCAAAGAAAAAGTATATATGTGTTAAATTGTTCATCAACATCGTCAAAGAGTACAACAGAATGTACTAATACCTTGGTGTTACCACTATCCCTTGAGAATATTGCCACTATCACTGGAACAGCTTCTGTACTGGAAGAATTTGGAAAGGAATTCAATATCCCCTGCAACCATGCGAGAGTTGTTTTGCCGTACGATGAGAGAATGAAAACATTTAATATTGACGATGCAAGAAAACATCACGAACTTTTGTACTTGCTACAAGAACACAAGAAAGACATGGAACAGCTTATGCAGCAACTGTCAAATATGGAAAAACAACTTACCGATGGAGATGACCCAACAGAAGTAGAAAGTGATGAGGAAATTGGTGATGAAGGTGAAAATGAAACTTTGCAAGCTAGACTATTCGTTTCAGAAGATTGATGGAAAATTCAAGAAAATTGATGAGAAACACGCTCGTCTTTCAGGCAACCCTGCTGTTACTGTTGAAATGCAACAATACATGCGCATCAATAGGGCTTCTTGGGAAAAAGCAACAGATCATCATGGATCCACAGTCATGCACCATGCAGTATAAAATGGTAATTATATGCTTTGGTGAAAACATTATTTAATGCAGGGGCGAATATAAATGTGAAGGAGAAATGCGGTGCAACACCTCTCACACGCGCTGTACTCAAAGATGACGAGGAAATGGTACAGCTTTTACTCGAAACTTTGCAATATGTCATGAAAGCTTTTCCACTTCAGTTCCTGGACCAAAAGCAATTGCAGAAAAGCTTGATCATGATAACATTAAAGTACTAATTGAACAATATTTAGCTGGTGAAGATAAACTAGACCTGTTGGTTTGGGAAATGACTGAACTTGATTCATCTGATCCGATGGTGGAAACAGAGGATATGTTGGATCGAGAACAAAAGGATGATCAAGAACACAAGGCATATGGTCGTGATATAAATAAATGCAAAACTTTGTTAGTTGGCGATCAGGGTACAAATAAAATTATTCGAAGTGTGAAGCAAAATCACAGTCAGCATATGAGTGGGCAGCAGAGGTCAGAGGTGATATGCATGCTAGAGGTGGGTAAACTATATAGGGTAACTGTAGAATAGTTGCTGTATTGAGAAGTTCCTTTTATGGACAAAATTCCTCATTCCTCATGCAGTCTCTTCCTACAGCATTGTATCTTCTTGCTCAAACATCAGATGATGTAACCTCAGTGAAGCCTGTTTCCAATGGGTGAATTCGTTCGCGGGACATTTTATTGCTAATATTAGCCGTGGTTTATATTTTGTTACCAGGTAACAAAATGTCCTATAATATGTTGGCAATGGACAATTTCCATTATACACTAAATTTTAATCTAAGTAAAGAAAGGGGAATCAAACATCACAGATAAAAACAACATAATGAAAATGGTAAAATTGCAAAGTTTGGTTGTGAAATGTTGTAAAGCTGGGAAATATAGCCTAATTGCGACGTTTGCAAATTTTGAATATGTTTGTATTACGTCACGAAAATTGCTACCATTTTCTTCTCACTGGAGTAGCTGCTTAACAATAATGCCCACATCATTACGTGCATTAGGCAAAACAATTCTGGTGCATTGCGTTCGATAGGTTTCAGGAATAGGTTCTTTGTGACTGTTCACTAATATAACAACCTTTTACTATTTTCTTCAGGCTATTTGTATGAGATTTGCAAAAAGACAATTTATGTGTGTTTCTCAACACGTCATGAAAAGAGTCAAAGTTACTGATGCTGCATTTGACGATAAAAAGTTCCAGTACCAGAATCTGAACCGTATTGACGAGGCTGTAAGGGATATTTCTATGGCATATGGGCTAGCTGCAGTTCAAGAATTTATTGCAAGTGAAATGCTTCCTTCCAAAGATGCTCTTGATGCACATGAACAGAAACATGGAAACCATCATGAACTTCTTCTAAACTTGTTTAAAGACTGGATTGAAAAAAACAGCAGTAATCCGCAATTCCAGTACCACTGTCAATTGATTACTCTCTTCGGCCCATTGAGGCAGTTATATTTAACAAGTGTAAAGTGTGGGAATGGTATCGGTCGTGAGCCTGTTTGGATGCTCATGTTACCACTGTTTGCTCAGTTACAGAAACGGAACTACTGGACTTAGGCTTTTGTACACCTCGTCAAACTTTTAGCAGCATGGCCTTTGTCAACAAGAAAACTACTACAAAACAACTGTTCAGTTAATGTGAAGGGAAGACATGGTCATAACATTGCCGTGGATGAGTGTGTGGAATCATACTTAGTCAGACCATTAAATAATTATGCTTCTGGTATGTCAAAAATAAGAATTTTGTAGAAAATATATTTTGTGCATGAATTATATATTTGCCCTGCAATATACATGGAACCAGGAACCCAGATGTTGAATACACAGTTGATGTATTCAAATAACTTTAGCACCCATAACAAAATAAAAAAAAAACTTTTCTTTTATGCAATACCAGCTTAATAGTTATTATACATCAAGGAAGCCTTTTAATAAGTTTGTTTACTATATTTACAAGAAAAAAAACTTTATAGGAAGACATATTTTATGAACATATTTTATGAACTTTAGTATTTTACTCTGTTCAACACCAAATGATTCTACTCATCAGTGGAAGAGTTACTGCCAGTTATTGCATTAAATCAATGAAAAAATTATTTTACAGGTCATTCAAGTGTTAACATACTCAAACTTATTTGCGAAAACCTGGAAACTGTTGGAAGAGTTAGACATGCTTTTGCACGCCATGAGGCATTCAATATTCACCCACTACCAATCATACAGAAGATCCATTTCCTGATCAACTTAAAGGGATGAGGTTTTGTCTGCACGAGAAGTTTTTTCAACCTAACAAGGACTGTAGCACAGTGCCAGTCATATTGGGCACAGGCGAAGAGAAAGGCAAATTGCCAGGCAGGTTGTTTGATGTGTATGATAAGGGGAAAGAAAAAGTAAAATTGAACTTTGGAAAAAAATTGTTTAACACTTTTCATGTGATTTCTAAATCAAACCAGGCATGTGATGAAG